TCAGAACGTTGCTTGTGGACAGGGCCGCACAAGCACGCGTCAACTCGCCCACAGAGCCTGCCACATCGGCCATGCACGCAGTTTACAAAGCTCTGGTTTGCATCTTCGCAGCCTCTACCACCATGTTACTAGATGGCCACGAATCAGAGCTGAACAACGAAGACCGCGAGCTACTCGCTTCAGTTGGGGCGTTCCTAGGAAGGAACTCTTGGGCGGAGCGTGGTTTGACAAGTACGAAAGACTTCTTGCTGTTTCTCGGGAGCGGAGAGATTGAGGGCAATGTTTACCATGGGTTTTTGAAGCAGCGGTCATCACAAAGGCAAGGATCCTTCGTCCTACCCCCAATCGCCAAGCCTGCGGAAGAGCCGCGGAAGCCGCTGCCAGATATGAGACCTCTTGCCCACCCGTGGGGCTCCAACGTCCCCGGACAAGCCGACAGGGATATTTATGTTTTCAAAGGAGAGCCGGACCGATTGCTCACATCGCCGCAGTCTATGGATATGGGCAGGCGCCACACCGTTGCCGAAAGCCCAACGTTCCCCAGACAGGCTGGTCGTGGGCTGACCTCGCCCATCGCGGCACCGAGGCTTCGACCATCATACCAAAGGCCGCCTTTGCGGAGAGTATACTGCACGAAATGTAACGAGTACCCTGAGGGTTTCCGTGGCGAACACGAACTGAGAAGACACAACGATGCCAAGCATGCTGCTCTGGTCAAGAGATGGGTTTGCACAGAGCCTCAGGGCCCACCTAATTCACCCCAGCCCGTGATACCTCTCTCGAAATGCAAGGCCTGCGTGACCCAAAAACGCTACGGCGCCTACTACAACGCAGCAGCGCATCTGAGACGAGCTCACTTCAATCCTCATCGTGGTGGTAAAGCGAGCGGGGATTGGCCGCCGATGAATATCTTGAAAGACTGGATGCGGGAAGTACGGCAGTCGATTGACGTACAGGATCAGGACGACGCGTCCAGTGGAGAAGACGAGGGGCATTATTACAAGAACACCCATGACTTTATCTCCCCACCTCGGCGCCGCTCACCACCGGTTCTAGAAGCACCACGCCTAGCCCCTGCGCCTCCTCCACCACCGCCGGCACACATGGGACATCAACATCCACACGGTCTCCCGGTACCCTCTCAGCCGCTGCTGGCCCCTTCGTTCGGCCCGATGGCTCATGCTGGGCCCCTCGGCTCTCTCGGCTCAGTAGGGGGTCCAGTTGGCCCACCACCTATGATCATACAAAGCTCACCGGGTGCCTACATGACACCGACCCCGGTCCTCAAGAGCAACGACGAGTCACAGCTCACACCTACTTCGGCATCCTCCTCCGTCCGCAACCGCTGCCCCCATCCAGAATGCGGTCGTGTTTTCAAGGACTTGGCAGCTCACATGCTGACCCATATGGAGGAACGTCCTGAAAAGTGCCCAATCGAGACCTGCGAGTATCATACCAAGGGGTTCGCGCGAAAATACGACAAGAGCAGACATGCCCTCACACATTACAAAGGCACCATGATCTGCCCATTTTGTCCTGGTGCCGGGACATCCTACGAGAAGGCCTTCAACCGGGCGGATGTCTTCAAGCGTCACTTGACAGCCGTGCACAACGTCGAGCAGACACCACCGAACAGCAGGAAGATCATTTTGACATCTGGGTCCGCGCGAGCCGGTGCTGCCGGGGCAAAGTGCAGCATTTGCCAGAGCCAGTTCGCTACAGCCCAGGAGTTTTATGAGCATTTGGATGACTGTGTGTTGAACGTCATCGTTCCTTCTACGCCAAAGACGACGGGCGGCGGGGGTGGGAACGCCAGTGAGAGGAAAGATTCTGTTGCCCGGACGCCGACGACGGCAACGGAGAAGGGCAAAGAGCTTGAGCACGATTCACATGTTCAACTGGATGTCGACATGGATGAAGACTCCCGAAGAGGCTCCGAATACAGCGACAGGGCATCTGTTGTTCAGACCACCCGCGAAGAACGCACCCAACTGTACCAGCAGGAGCCCAGCACTCGGGTTTCATCGGCACAGGCTTCTCCAGCTCCTTCGTCGATCCAGACCTCCAAAACCGAGCCATCTGGGCAACTGCCCAACTCACACGCCGATCACGAATCAGAGATTGCTTCCGAGATCCAAGTCGCCGTGCCGCCCCGGCCATCGAAGGAGGACGCGATGGACGTGGTGGAAGAAACGAACGGCGTTGGGGCTGGCCAGCCACAACAGCAGAAGTCAGAGCCCCCCGAGTTGTCACTCGAAGTTAAACCATACCAAGCCTTGCGTCGGCCGGAGGTGACGCTTGGATCGCCGGTCCCGCCGGATGCGATGGATACGGACTAAATCTTGCCGGCTCCTATCACATCCATTTATTTCAATTTTTTTTGGTGATTCTGGTCTAAAAAGATATGGGAGATGAGTCCATGACTTGGCTAGAATGAGAGGGATGGAGATATCTACTTTTTATGGTTCAACGGGGAAAGTGAGATTTTATAATGATGACGGATTTATATCTTTTATTCTACTGTCATTCATAATTTTGGAAGGGGGACGGAGAGGTCTTTCGTGGGATATATATTTATGTGTAATATATATATATATATATATATATATGAGGGGTTGTTTCTCTGAGCTGTGTGGTCAGCTGAAATGGTTATATTTATCTTCTTTGGATTATCCTTTTCTTTAAACAAACATCTCTTTCCAGAGGGTGTAGTTGATGTGTATGTTGGGACCACATGGGGCCAGAAGGCCCGTTCTTGTGAAATCGCCATCAGCTGCCTTCTCGAATGTATATCAAGCACCATACAATGATTGGCAACCGAGGGGTCACGGCATGGGGACTCTCTCTATCACCTGGTAGGACTCTGCACATCTGTGCTGTGATGCCATCGCAACCATGGCAAATCCACAACAACAGCATCCACCACCAACCACCTTGAGGGGAAATCCCCTCAATGCTGTGCACACCACACCTCCTGACAGCGAGACTGTACACAAGCTGTAACCGACAGGGCGAAACCGGAACGAACTTCCATGCTGTGAAACTACACTCGGGGCAGAACAATAGGGTGAACCATCGATCGAGGCAGACACCAGAAAAGCGAACACGGGACACCTTACCTTATACCACGTTTGTGGTGATACACACCAGATCGGGCATTCCGGGGCTGGGTCATCAACAGGTCGTGATATCAGGCTCAGGTCAGATCGAGATGTTTTAACGTGATCCTCCGGGAAGAAGTGTAAATCATCACCAGGCAGGTGGCTGAGTTGGTCGGGTCATTCCGCCCCCTCCACAACCCAGCCGCACCGCAACCCCACGACCAGCTGCACCACGCAAGGCTACACAAGTTTTCCAGCAGTTGATCATCACCAGTAAGGTATACCAACTCTCTAACGGGGCCGGTCATGATTCCATGTCGGAAGTGGCCCCCCAAACCCTCAAGCTATCAGAGGGTTGGGAAAAGATTCTTAAAACAAAAAACAAAAAATAAAAAAAATATATAAAAAATGTGGCCGATTAAACCATGGGAAGTATTCATTGCTCCTGAAAGCTCCAACCTCCCTCAAACGTACGGCAATCTAATATTTTTTTCTAGCAAGCTAGCAATGAGCATTCTGGCAGACATGGAGGAGAAGAAGTCTATAGACGCGGCGCTGGCTGCATTTGATGTATGAAAGAAGGAGAGAAAGAGAAACGCGCAAAGACGCGAAAAAAATAAAATTGGTGGTTTTAATGGGAGGAGGCCCCACTTTGCTGGACAGTGTGCTAACGTCCCACTATCGAACACCCCGCACTGTTCTTGGTGGGCAAGATGTTTCTTGAGTAGGTCCGTGGGGTGGTCGACGACCCCTCCTTCCACCCCACCAGACCAGCAAGTCCAGCTGCGAAACCTTTGACCCTTTTTTGGGCTTGGGCCAAGAAGGGAGATGCCCCGCTGATCTTTGATGAAGTTAAGTGTTCGTGGGGTTGATATCGAGGCCGGCAAAGGGTGCTGGCGGAATGGAAAAGCGAGGTTTGTGACGTCGATGGTGATGCGGGTTATGCCGCGGGGACCTGGGTGATGACCTCTGGGGGTATACTAGGCAGAAGAGATCACCACATCATGAATGGTGTCAAAAAGGCAGATGATGGAACGGTAGAGAGGTCGACAGCCACAGAGCGAGGCACATGTCTGGTTTCTACAATATGTAGCTGTGCTCTGTTACACACGTGGGGAGGAAGCTTGAAGGATATTGGCTGTGTGGGTGTAAAGTCTTCAAAGGGGGGGTCCCGCGTGGCTGAATATGTATACTCGGTATCTGAACCGTCAAGGTGCTCAAGAGACGAAAAGGGCAGAAACTTGCTTTGCTGTGGATGGTGATCGGAAGCGAAAAAGACGCAGTTCAGATGGGCGGTACAGCAGGTAATCAACTCATAGCAGTTGATTTTATTGTGGTGATACGAAAAAAGAATAATTTTATAAGAATTTTTTAGGTTTGCTTCTGGGGTATTAAAAATGAAGACATCCCACGTCTCCCACCACAATCCCCGTTCAGTGTCACAGGCTGGGCATCTTGTGATCGACTGACTTGACGACCCAAAGGGTTCTCGCAGAAAAGGAGCCAAGACTCCATCCACACATGACAAGAGCCCGGAAGAAGCGTCATCCTCTGACACTGGCCCAGACCGCGACCGTTTGTTGGCCACCGCACTTTCTCGCCCTGCCCGCCAAGCTGAGGGTCTGAAAAGCTAAAACAGGCTGAGAACCACTTTACAGTGGGCTCCTCCTCCCTTTGACGCCAAAAAACATTCGACGGCCATCTAGATTTCTTTTCCACCACCCTACCGACCCGCTCCTCTTTCTCGATTCCCATCATGTCTGGTATGACAACCTATATCTAAAGAAAGGCGCCCCAGCGCGAAAACACCACCCCCCACCCACGGAAGGGATACTCCTGAATTGTTATTTTTTTTATTTTTTCCCTGTTACTATTTCGTTTTTTTCAGCCGTCAAGCAAATGATGGCTCTCCAGCGCATTCTGTGCCTGGGACTGCTGTACCATGGCGTCATTGCCAGGCTCTCGGGTTCAGGTCCAACTGCGCCGGCGGCAGAGCAGCACATACTGTCGAATTCTGCCCCGCGAAAAGGGCTGCACGGCAGGTTCCTGCATATCACAGGTGAGTTATCCCCTCCATCACCATTGCTATCGTAGCTTCGCGGCAGGCTCTGTGTCCCATCGCGGCAGGCCTGTCATTTCTGAGGAACTGAAATTGACATTGTGGAAATTCACACGCAGACATCCATCCCGATGAATTCTACAAAGTACACTCATCTACGGACGAAGACGACGGATGCCACAAGGGCGAAGGGCCAGCAGGGCCGTACGGTGCCGAGACGACCGATTGCGATTCGCCGTACTCGCTGGTGAATGCGACGTTTGACTGGATTGAGGCGAATTTAAAAGACAAGATTGATTTTGTCGTGTGGACGGGCGACACGGCGCGTCACGATCGCGACGATGATTTGCCCCGCACGCAGGACCAGGTGCTCGGGACCAACACCTGGATTGCGGACAAGTTTGCCGAGATGCTCAGGAACGAGGAGACGGGACATGGGATGAGCATACCGGTTGTGCCGACGTTCGGGAATAACGATATCTTGCCGCATAACATTTTGCTGCCGGGGCCGAATAAGTGGTTGCAGACGTATACGCACATTTGGAGGCATTTTATCCCAGAGGCCCAGAGGCATAGCTTTGAGTTTGGAGGCTGGTTCCACGTGGAGGTTATTCCGAATCGGTTGGCGGTGTTCAGCTTGAATACGCTGTACTTTTTCGACCGGAATGCGGGTGTGGATGGATGTGAGAACCCATCTGAGCCAGGGTTTAAGCAGCTGGAGTGGTTGAGAGTGCAGTTGGAGTTTATGAGGGAGAGGGGAATGAAGGTTATCTTGATGGGCCATGTCCCGCCAGCGAGGACGGACAGCAAGAAGCTTTGGGATGAGACTTGCTGGCAAAAGTACACGCTCTGGCTGCACCAGTATAGGGATGTGGTTATCAGCGGGATGTATGGGCACATGAACATCGATCACTTCCTTATCCACGACACCCACGACGTCGACATCGCCTTCTTGAACGGTCTATCACCCGAATTTGGCGTTCGCGAGTACTTGGACGATGAGCTTACGATTCAGGGTGGCACCGATTATCTGATGGAACTCCGCGATGACTGGTCCAAGTTGACACCCCCAACTGTGCCGGGCAAGTCGAACGAAGTGAATCAGGATGGAAAGAAGGGCAGAACCAGAAAGCCAAAGCGCAAGGATCCTTGGGGGGAGCGATATGTGTTGTCGCTGGTCAGCCCCAGCATCGTACCAACGTATTTCCCCACGTTACGCGTGGTGGAATACAACATCTCTGGCCTTGAGAACACACCTCTTTGGCGCGACATGCCTGGCAATGGCGCGAAGAACTCGTCGCACCCTGCCAGTGCCCCGAGCGCACCTCAGAAGCACCTCGACCTGCGAAGCTTGTCGCCGATAGACGATCTGAGCGATTCCTTCGAAAATGTCGAAACCGACAAGAAGAAAAAGAAGAAGGGCGGCAAACGCCCAAAGAAGGACAAGAAGCCTCACGATCCCAACCTCGTCATTCCTCCTCCACCAGCGAAGACGAGCCCTCCCGGACCTGCGTATTCTCAGCAGCCTCTGAGCTTGACAGGGTACACACAGTACTTTGCTAACCTAACGCACATCAACAACCTCAACCTTACCGATTTGAACAGCGTCGAGCCAACAACAACCAACAGCCTTTTCTCCCTGCTCCAATCCTCGAAATCGTGGCTTATGAAGTGGCGAAAGGGGAAGAACGGAGGGAAGAAGCCGCTGACACCGAAACCGGACCCGAGAGAATTTGCCTTTGAAGTCGAGTACAGCACTTTTAACGACAAGATCTACAAGCTGGGAGATTTGACGGTGAACAGCTTTGTGGAGTTGGCGTATAGGATTGGGCAGAAGGCCAAGGGCAAGAGTCTGGTTGAGATGGCTGGCGATGAAGAGGTGGGAGATGTTGAGGAGGAGCATGACTGTGATGAGTCCGATTTTGAGTCGGACAGTGACTCTGATGATGAAGAGATGGAGGCTGAGGCAAAGAAGGGGGACAAGAAGAAGGGAGACAAGAAAAAGAAGGGCAAGAAAGGGGACAAGAAGAAGAAGAAGAAGAAGGGGAAGAAGAACAAGACCTGGCTGCATTTTTTGAGTCATGCGTTTGTTGGGACGTTGGATAAGAGTGAGCTGAAGAGGTACTCATGATTTGGTTTCTACCAAGCAGGAGTGATACGAGGGATTGCTCAGCTGGGGCGATCTGTGTGGTTATCTGCTGGTTCATGGGGCGGGTATTTGCATGCATCTATGGCGTTATGTTTTCAAGGGAGGTTTATTTTTATTTTTATGGTTTATACTATACCTGGACAGCGTTGCATTGACGACGGAAAAGGGGGCAAGAGAAGAGTGCTAGAAGCGTTGGAGTCTCACGGCATCATGTTGGCATGGAGTGGATAGATTCTTCTGCTGGGATTTACGTGGTGAATTCAAGGGGCTCGATGGAGCTAGAACATGTAGGAAATAGGTAATACAAAGATCAAAACATTTATCTATAAGACTTTATTGCGGCTTGCTAAGAGAGAGAAAAAGGGGGTGAGTGCCACACTCTCAGCCACATATTCTCAGCTCAAGGAAGCTTGCGCCACACCAATTAAGCCCAGGCACGTCACGCGCGTTCTTGTCTATCTTTATCTTTATCGCCAATTCATTTCCCCTTCTCCATTTGATGCTCAGCTGTCTTGGAGTAAGCTTTGAAGACTTTTCCTGTCGTTCGTTTTGTCTTTTGCTTCTAGGCCATTGAAACATGATACCCTAATCTTGTCTCTTCCTGTTTCCCACCTTAAACACAGCAAAGCCGCAGCAGTAGTAGCAGCAGCAGCAGCAGCAGCGCAATGCTCCCCCTTCGCCGACTCCTCCGTCTCCCCACCAGCTTCGCCCGCCGCCACGCCCGCCGACGACGAATGTACCTCCTCTTTTTGCTGCTGCTCCTAGTAGGGGTGGTGATTTTGCCGCTGTACGTGGTGTACTATCCGCCCTCGTCGCTAATCCGCTACTTCTCCCACCGCTGGACCGACGTCCTCTTCCGGATCTGGCTGCCCCCCGACAAGAAGATTGTGGCGCTTACCATTGACGACGCGCCGTCTGATCACACGAGGGGGATTCTCTCTGCGCTCTCTGCCAGCGGGGCGCACGCGACGTTTTTTGTGATTGGGTCGCAGGTTCCTGGGCGGGAGGGGATACTGAGGGAGATTGTGAGGCAGGGGCATGAGCTGGGGAATCACGGGATGCATGATGAGCCTGCGAGGGGGTTGTCGACGGAGGAGCTGGAGAGGGAGATGAGGGAGGTGCAGGGGATGATTGATAGGGCTTATAGGGACGAGGGGAAAGAGCCGCCGAGGGAGGGGAGGGAGAGGTATTATAGGCCGGGGAGCGGGTTTTTTAGCGATAGGATTAGGGGGGTGGTGAACCGGTTGGGGTACAGGTTGGTGTTGGGGAGTATTTATCCTCATGATGCGCAGGTTGGGTGGGCGGGGGTGAATGGGAGGCATATCTTGGGGATGTTGGATCCGGGAGGGGTGATTATTTGTCATGATAGGAGGAGTTGGACGAGGCCGATGTTGGAAAGGGTGTTGCCTGAGATGGGGAGGAAGGGATGGGAGGCTAGGACGGTGACGGGGTTGCTGGGGGAGGTGACGGGGTGAGATGGGGGGATAACTAATCCAGTGCGATTTGACTGTGGCGTGAGATGCAATCTACATGTGGGATTTTTTTTGGTCGAGGAGGGCTTGGAGGAAGATCGTATAATCGGCATTGCTACAGAGGCTTGCCTTTGCCCCAACTCGACCGGCGTTATCCGACGATGCAAGCACGACACATGGCATGACACTCACTCGTGAAGCCAGCGCACAGAGCAAGATCTCAACATTGGAAGCAATCGGACATGTTCACGAGGTCACTGTTTTTCTCGACCAGAGGCACTGACGATTCTCACCACGATGCATAAAGTAACGGGGCCGCGCGGTAGAGGTCGGTATCGGCCGGTGAAGCAGCTCCGATGTGCCATCCGGGAAGCCCCTGTGAAAGTGGCGAGTGGGGAGGGGCAACTGCTTCTAGAAGCGTTGTGGATGCAAAGGCCGCCGCTAGCAGCAGTTGAGACGCCCTTGGAATGACGAATTCCACCATATGGAGCCGCCCAGCTGCCCCGCGCCGATATCGAACGTTTATATGAGCCGCTCAACACCACCTCACTTACACCGACCGGTTTCTGTCCTTGTCGTCACATACAACTCACTAATTTACCAAAATGGCGTCTGATGAGCTTCCTGTTCGCCCCGCTGGGTCTGCGGTCAAGGCCGTCGTTGAGGGCCCCAACTCGCTCGCTGTCGCCTTTGGCAGGGAGCTGTCTATGGCTTCTCGCTCGGTCCATGCCGATGACTATATCAACAATCACCAGGCCGTGGCTCCCCCCATGCACGTTTCTACCACTTTCCGATATAACCGGGACCCTGAACAGTTGAGACCATGGGACAATCTCAACGTGAGTGCTTCACACCATATCACACCCCTTGTTCACTGCCACTAACACAATGTTCAGCCCAATGCCCCTTATGACTCTCACGTGTACTCTCGAGACAGTGCACCAAACACCACCCGCTTCGAGGCCATCCTCACCTCGCTCCTCGGAGCCCCGTCACTCAGTTATGCATCCGGTCTTGCCGCCTTCCACGCCATGATTGTCTTCCTCAACCCCAAACGTGTGGCTATCGGCGGTGGTTATCACGGCTGCCATGGCATTCTCCACATCATGAAGAAGCTCAACGGCCTCGAGCAGCTTGAACTGGAGGACGATGCCGACCTTGCCAAGCTCGAAAAGGGCGATGTTATTCACGTCGAGACACCCCTTAACCCCACGGGCGAGGCTCGCGACCTGGCTTACTACCGCAAGATGGCCGACGAAAAGGGGTGCTATCTCACCGTTGACGCCACCTTTGCCCCCCCCCCTCTGATGGAGCCCTTCAAGTACAACGTCGATATCGTCATGCACTCTGCCACCAAGTATTTCGGCGGCCACTCCGACATGCTTGCCGGTGTCCTCGCCATCCGCCCAGACAGAGCCGAGAAGTGGCTCCCAGAGCTCAGGGAGGAGCGCCTCCACCTTGGAGGTGTGATGGGCTCTCTTGAAGGCTGGCTTGGCGTCCGTAGTGTCCGCACTTTGGAACTGAGAGTCAAGCGCCAGAGCGAGAGCGCCCAGAAACTGGTTGACTTCCTTGCCGAGAAGAAGGCGGCCGGCGACAACAGCAACATCATTGCGCAGTCTGTCTTCAAGATTCAGCACGCTTCTCAGCAGCCGGAGGCAAAGGATGAGAACTCGTGGCTGAGGAAGCAGATGCCCAATGGGTTTGGGCCGGTGTTTAGCTTGTGGTTGGAGAGCGAGGAGAAGGCGAAGAGGTTGCCTAGCAAGCTGCAGTTGTTCCACCATGCCACGAGTCTGGGTGGAGTGGAGAGTTTGATTGAGTGGAGGGCGATGACGGATCCCAAGGTGGATAGGAGGTTGTTGAGAGTTAGCATCGGTGTGGAGGGGTGGGAGGATTTGAGGGATGACTTGGTGCAGGGGCTGGAGAGGTTGAAGGAGGAGGGGTTTTAGAGGGGATGGGGGTGTATAAAAGAAAAGGGATATAGGTAGATGGAACCAAGATGTCTTTGGTTGCTAATTTCCTGGCCCAGCATGGTACGTAACGGCTCGGGCATGATTCTTTTTTTTTTTTTTTTTTTTTTTTTTTTTGAAATATTGCAGCGTGAAAGAAGGGGATGTTCAGCTGAGAGTAAGCGGCTACACTGCATAGATGACCTACATAAGGCTGGTTGTGATATTTCTGTCTGCCTCAGGTGAGATGAAGTTGCAGTACCAAGAGGATGGATCAGGCAAACCTCTTCGTCTGAATGGAAGTATCCAGTCCTGAAGCCTGCTGACTGCTTAACTTTTGTAAAGACGTTTGCAAAGAAGAAGCCTGGTGTTATCCATCATCTTGCCGTGATTATGATTTTTTGTGCAAACGGGCGAGATGTCCGGTCAAGTGGTCAGGCAGTCATTGGGACACCGTCGGGTACCACCCCGGAGAGCACGATGCAGTTTTGTTGAAGAGTGAACACACACGATTGGAGCTTCGTTTTGGGGAAGTGTTTTAGCGTGAAATGAGGAGATGCTTAGACATCAATCCACAGGTCGAGACGAGGAGCTGGAATCAAACAGAACGCTCGACGACAGCGGTCTTTGACCATCCCTATACGGAAAGCCAAGCATCGCGTTTATCCTCCACCAAAACCCATCACTAACCAAGACTAGCATGTCTTGAATCGACCTCTATATTCGTTACCCTCATTACCATGAATTATTACAGTAGTATATGTGTACCTCCCACTTCAGCATTCCATCCCAAACCCAGACCCCATAACGCCTTTTCATCAGCAAAAAAACGACCACCACACAAAGATGTTGGTGATATGTCTGTTTTCCAAGCAATATGCCCCCCCCCCCCCCATTCAACACAGACGGCTGCCCGTCTATCGCCATGACTCCTCTGATCAGAATGATGCCCCCCTATAGCATGCACGTCCTTTAAGCATCAACCTCAACCGCACCCCCATTCGCCCCCGACCTATCAACAGGGAAAGGCATGGCCCCCAACTCCGCTCCCTGCCCGCTCTGCGCCCTCTTTCTCGACGCCCCAGGCAGGAAACTCCATGATGACGTCGCGTTGCTGTTCGCAGTATGCGCTGCATCGGTCGTCTCATGGGTGTGCTCAGATCCAAATCTCGCAAAGAGCCCCTTCTTCTTCGGCAACGCTGGAGTCTGTGTCTGTTCGGCTTGTTGCTGGTGCTGGTGTTGCTGCTGGTGCTGGTGCTGCGCTGTGGTCTTGGATTCACCACCTAGCCCAACATCCTCAAAACCCTCTTCCGGGGTAGGTGGTTCCCGGCTTAGGAGCGATGAGCGCGTGTGCATCATGCGGGGGAAGCGGGCGGAGGAATCGAGGGATTGGCGTGGCGCAGGGTCGGTAATGTAGCTTCTGGCGGAGATGTCCTATTGTGTGTTAGCGGTTGGGCCAAGAAGGGGGGTTTGGGAGAGAAAGGCGGACAAAGGAGCGGCGGTAAGAATCGAATGATTCCCTCGAGATAGGGAAGTGCTCAATGTCACCCGAGCCATCCCGGCTGCTTCTGTCGCTGGAGGTTCGGGAGAGGTACCGGCGTGGCCAGGTAGCTTCCTTTTCAGTGGGAGATGGCTAGGGGGTCGCGTCAGTACTGGGAAGGATATGTGATAGAGAGGAGGCGGTAGCTTACAGGAAGGTAAATTCCACTATCATCGACCACTGTATGAACAGACGCGGAGTCAGTTTTCGGTGCTTGAAGCTGTGTCGCCACGATGGTGATGATCCCGAGCCTCCCGCTCAGTTATGTGGGGGAAGGGGCCGCTCATTCAGGAGACTTCGAGGGAACCGTACCGCTCATCTTGTATTCCCCTGTGTCCTGGCTCCTCCTGCTGCTGCGAATGCTGAACGCCGACGATGCCTTTGACCCAACAGTATCTACCCTTTCAAAACCCGGCGACAGCACACTTTCCTTCACACTCCCGGCCGCCGACCCCGGTCGTGAGTTTTCATCATGAGCGGTGACGATGACACCGGGACGGCGCGCAAAGGGGTTGCGGATTGGCATGCTGAAGATATTACGTATGAACCGAGCTCGACAACCGAACTCCAGAAATTGACCGGCTTCTTCAAAAAATGCTTTCAAACAATTTGAAGAGGCAGAGAAACCAGTCGCGCGCAAAAAGGAGAAAAAACCAAGAACTCGAAGCTTGAACAGGAACGGTCTGCGATGGCCGGGGTATCGGTGTTTAAATTCAGAATGGCAAATGCAGGGCCAAGATTTTAACAAGAAGGCCCGTCCCAACAGGATTGGTTCGAGAGTGGTCAGACGATGGGGCTAAAAAGGTACTTGCAGTGGTTCGGGGAACTGGGAAATCCAGCGGTATAACAAAGCAAGCAAGCAGCAGATCACACGCAGCAAATTGTATCCAGTCCCCTCCTCACCAATGGTCTGGGCCTTGGTGCCCCTCTCTCGTCAGCAAAGGCACACACACACACACATTCGGACGGAAGAAAGGCGGCACTGGGGCATCCTCTCGTTCTCGAAGACACAGCTCTGGTTGGTCGCCTTTCCACAGAGGAACTTCCCTGGATGTCTTACAGCAGGCCGCTTAGTGGGGTCGTGGAAACCCGTTCCTTTTCGGTCCCCACCCATCCCGACCCCGCAAAGAGAGAAGGAATAAGGGCTGGGAAGTCGCAGCATGGAGTGCCCGGCTGCCCGGCTCTGAACTCACCACACCAAGAGATGGACGAGAATGCGACTTTTGCCCGGTATCATCGCCTACACCACCTTTCGGGGGTCAAAGCAAAATAAATCCGAACATGACGTTGTTGAAGCACGGCTGCTAAAGCTATCCAGACATCTCCGCGCTTCCTTCTGCCGAGCAAGCTGAATGAATGTACAAAAAACAGCCGCAAAAACCGCCTGTCAGCCCAAGACAAATCCTTATTTGGTTTCATGCAGGCAACGCCACGTTGGAGATGCATTCCTTCCCACTCTTCCCAGTCTCTCTTCCAGAAACTCTCAAAGTCAGGGTCAGAGACCCTTTGCTACCTCGAGCACCTGTTGCGTCTTGATCAACAATAGCAGCCCACTATGCGACCCCTCGATGTACATAAGATGACAAGTCCCACCAAGATCGTACAACCTTCCTCACACAAGATCTCACCTACTTGTTACAGGTCGGTGACGCAAGGCACACACACACCCGTAGATCACTGATCGCAGCGCCGAGCTTGCCGGAGAGCAGAGTGTGCAGTTGCTCAGCCTACCGGCTAAATCATCAATTAAAGCTCTCATCAGCACATGAGTGGATGTAGTCTCTGAAGTGACATTGCTCAAATCGTCAGCCAAGAATACTCGGCCGAGTCCCAGATCGACCAACACTATACATGTCCAAATCATATCTTATAATTCGTAGCATACTTCTGTCATGAATTCCCTTGCCAAGGGTTAGGGTCCCACCAGTCTGGTTGAACCACAGTGTGGCCTTGGTCATCTTCTTCCTGTAGCTAGTGTGCTTTTCCCTCTCTCAGCTTCCTCACGCAACCTTGTTGTATCGACCTCAGTTCCTGACAACTTCCATCATTAGTCAGAATCACTGTCCTCACTGGGAGAGAACCCCTTGAATTCCTCCTCGGAATCATCCACAACACCAACACCCGAAGCCTCGCCATTCCCTTCCTCTTCCGAGGAGGGCTCTTCGTCTTGTTCCTCAATCTCAAACATCGCACTAACATCCCATCGGTCGCCCTTGGCGCTCTGGGAGACGTACTTTACGAAGCGGAGAGTCCCGCTATCGCGCAGCACAATGCTCATCTTGTTCCAGGAGGCAGCCTGGAAGAAGAGAATGTTGTCGTCCTCATCGCTGGTCTTGTAGATGGCAGCATCCTCGTTGCTGTCGTCATCGCCAGCCATGTAAACCTCGTGGCCACCAACTTCGAGCTCTTCCTCAGGCTCGGGCTCCTTTTCAACAGCCTTGCCCTTGCCCTTGCCCTTGCCCTTGCCCTTGGCATCGCCCTTGGCATCGCTGCCGTTAGCAGACTTGCCGTTGGCCTTCTCCTTTCCTTTGCCGTTCGCCGCGCCGTTCTTGCCTTTCTTCTTGGGCTGCTCCTCTTCAGAGGACTCCTCCTCCTCCTCCTCTTCTTCTTCTTCTTCCTCATCCTCGTCGTCCTCAACATCGCCCCAGCCAGTGGTGGGCGTCAGGCCAATATTGACTTCGAGTCTAGGCTTGCCCTCATGGCCGGTCGCGAGTGTGTAGTCTTGTCCATGGCGGAAGCGCCTGGCCAGTAAATCGACGCTTTCGACCGTAGAGCGCGTAGCCATCTGCAGCCACAGGCGGAATTGTCTGGATGGCAAAAGAACCTCGAGCAGCTCCTTGAGGGGCGACTCCTCGGTCTTCTCCTCTCCAGGCTGGAGGTAGAGATATCTGTGCTTGTGAGGTGGGCGCGCAACCTTCCAGGCGCCCTTCTCGATCTCATCACTGCTTTCCGGTAGTGGCTTCTTCTCCTGGTCCTCCACATGTTTGCGAAGTTTCTCGGCGAATCTGGGATGCAGAATGTCTGGCAAGGTGATGCTGAACTCCTCCTCAAAGTGTTCGGCGACGCGCTCGATGGTGTCTGGTGTGAGGTAGGTCGGCGCGATGTACTTCAAAAGGAACTCCAGATCAGACTCATCCAGAGGGAAGTCATCCTCCTCGAGTTTGCTCTTCTCAACCCTGATGGGTTTCGCCTGCGGCTGGTCGTGCTGGTCTGGGTTACCCTGCAGCTGCATCAGTCCGCTCTTGTGAGCCGCTTCTCTCTCGGCACCCTCCACCCACCCGTCCTCTCCAACCTGGGGAATGTGGAACCACCCGCTGATGGCCATGCGGATGCGCCCAGCATTCTTCTCGAGCTCCTCCGGGCTGGCAGCATGGTAGACCTCCTCGACATCGTGGAAGGACTCGCCGGGCTGCACGGCAAAGAAAGAGAGCTGGTTCCAGGCTGGTGGGATAGACTTGACAAAGTCTGGCAGGGGTGTCTTGGCAACCTCGCCGTCCTTGCCCTCTCGGTCGACGACGGGGAAGAGGCGAAGAGCTCCGCCCCACTCGGGCTGCCATGGTGTGTCTGGGTCGGTAAGATACAGAATGTAGCTGACTTTTCGAGAACCGATAACATCGTCGTGGCACAGGAGGTAGCAGCCGGGTGTGTAGACATTGATGGCCATATCGGTCTTGCGCCCACTCAAGGGGCCGCAGCCGGTGATGTGCGAAACATATTCGCGGAAGGTCTGGGAGTAGAGCGCATCGCGGAGGGCGAGAAGGGAGGGGAGCTTGGCCAATGCCTTGTCGTCGAGTCCGTCAAGGTTGGCAAGGTCACCACTTTGGTGGATCTTGTAGATGTCGGTCTCTTTGGGGGTGAAGTGAACGTTGGCCTTGATTTCTTCGCGAACCTTGCGCAGGAGGGAATCGTCGGCGAGCTCGTGGATTACGCTGTGTTTATACGGTGTTGATGTCGCATACTCTGAGGTGTACTTCTCGAGGACCTTCTTGTCAAACAGCCCCTTGCGGAAGCGGGCTTTGGCATCCTCATCGCTGAGAGCTATGATGGAGGAGTTGTGTCAGCGTCTATCGTATCGCCGGAGCTATCGGTGGGCGGGTTGAGGGGCAGCGGCAGGCTTATTACTGTTCTTGGTCCGCTTCTTGATGGCTTTCCTGCCATCAGCTGGAGAATCGGCCTTTCTCTTCATCTTCATGGTGCAATTGGGTCTGTTGCACAGGATTTGGGGTTGGTGTTTCGGTGGAAAATGGGGCAGAAAAAAGAAGAGCTCCGGGAATGGGCTGATATCAAAAGATAAAATATCCCATGAAGAAGAACATGTGCGGGTCCAAAACTTTTTATGCCCCCCACCTTGGGGAAACGAACATGGGCCGACCCTGAAACATGCGATCGATTGGCTCGCTGTGGGGTCAAACGCTCTCGACTGACATCTGCCGTAGGCCATGATTGACTCGAGAAAGCTGCGAGGCCATGCGCAGGTCTTGCATGATGCCCGAAGCGCTTGTCCAGTTCGCCGCAGTTGTTAAGCCCTCGGCGTCTGTCTGGAGATGGCTGCTTCCACATCAGGATGGCAACCAACAAGACACAGAGAGGTCTGCATGGAGCCGCCGGTGATCTCTTTCGGGTGGGATCGCCTTGATCCTATTTATGCGTCTCTTATGCAGCTTTCAGTCTCGATCCTTGTAGTTAGTGTCTTGGATTTATTCTTGTCTTGTTTCTTCCCAAGTGCGGACCGAGGAGTGCCCCTGGACACTCGGTGGCCCCCAAATAGAGAGTCTGAAAACAAGTCTAATTCAGATGCCGCCATTTACACCTGAAGATATTGACAGCGTGAGGGCAAGCTTCCCCGCATTGTCAGGAGATTATATATTCTTTAATACTGCAGCTGGAAGCCAGGTGTTGGGATCAGTAGCTGATCGGTATGATTAAACCAGTCTCCATGCCACCAGTGCCCTGCCGAAGCTGATGCGTGTCCCAGTGTACGGGACTACCTCATAACCCCAAACCTCGTCAACGACGGTTATAAAGCCGCAGCAGACTTCATCAACGCCTCCCCAGATGAAATAGGTTCGTAGACCCTAAAGTTGCTCTATTTCACCCTCACATAAAACCGCATTACTCTCTTACACAACCACCCCTAGTCTTCGGCTCCTCCGCAACCCAACTCCTTCACAACCTCTCTCACGCCCTCTCCTTCTCACCCGAAGATGAGATCCTCCTCTGCCCCCTCGACCACGAGTCCAACATCGCCCCTTGGCTCGCCTTAGCAGCACGTCAAAATCTCAAAATCCGCTGGTGGCACCCCCAACTCCCACCTGAAGATCAACCGGGTTGCGTCAACCCCAAGCTCGACCTCACCAACCCTCCCATCTCCCCCAAAACCCGCCTCATTTGTTTAACCCACACAACCAACATCCTCGGCACCATCCACGACATCAAATCCCTCTCCGCCAAAATCCGCCTCCTAAACCCCCAGACCCTTCTCTGCGTTGACGGCGTAGCCCACGCACCCCACCGCCGAATCGACGTCAAAGATCTCGGGGTCGACTTTTACGTCTTCAGCTGGTACAAGCTTTTCGGACCTCGAATCTCACAGCTGTACGCCGGTCCCTGCGCTAGGGCACAGCTCCAGTCCATGGGGCATTTCTTCAACCCTGCTGAGAGTTTGGATGACAAGATTGGGCTGGCGGGGGGGTGGTGTCAGGAGTTGATTTACGGGATTCCGGCTGTGGTGGAGTATCTGACGCCGAGATGGGAGGGGGTTGTAGACCAGGAGGAGAGGTTACAGTCGGTTTTGCTGGGTTTGTTGGCGGGGTTGGATGGAAAGATAACGATTTACGGGGAGTGGTGTGGTGATGCTAAGGTGAGGGTGCCAACGGTGAGTTTTAGGGTGAGGGGGTGGAAGTCGAAGGATTTTGTAGAGGCTATTGAGCGGGAGACAAATGGGAGGGTTAAGTTGAGCTGGGGGACTTATTACTCTGTGAGGCTGGCTAAGGAGGTGCTTGGGCTGGGGGATGATGGGGTTGTGAGGGTGAGTTTGGCGCATTATAACACTGGTAAGTTATTGCGTTGATGGGATTTGAACGAGTTGAAGCTGACTGTAAGTAGAGGAGGAGATACGGTTGTTCTATACCGCTCTTCTAAAGGTGCTGGGCCTTGAGGGAAGCGGTAATGGTGCGAGGAAAAGTGATTGGAAGATCTAGGGGCTGAGGCGACACAATGGCCAAACAAAAAAAAACAAAAAAAATAACTAAAGAACGCAAAAAGTAGGACTCGAAGCCCTGGACTCTGATCAAACCGAGCAGGCGAGCACGATCCACATTTTGCGGTGAACCTTTGCGAGCAAAGGTCCAATAAACCACACGCCGCGGTTGACCACTGCGCCAAACACCCCTATCTCCGTTCCTTGATGCCTACTGGTGCAAGTCTTGTTCTTAAATAGGACAGTTGTCAAGAGCAGCGGCATCTGCATTTCGAGTCACCTATCTCACACCGTGCTACACCTCTATAACTTGCCACTCCTCTTCTCGACGGCCTCCCTGAGCAGAGAAATCACCTCGGAGGGATCCTTCGCACCGAACACCGCACTGCCAGCAACAATAACATTGGCACCCGCGTCCGCAGCCTGGTCGATCGTGCCAGGTCCCAGCCCACCATCAACCTCAATGTTCAAGTCCGGGTACCGCTTCCGCAACTCCTCCACCTTGGGCAGCTCAGAAGCCATGAACTGTTGACCACCAAACCCAGGCTCGACAGTCATAACCAAAACCATCTATTCTCGAATCAGTAACAACCTTGCCAGTAACTGTGGGGATATCAACTCACATCAGGCTTCTCCTTAGGATCTTCGCTCTCAATCAAATCAAACAGCACATTAGCGGGAGTAGCCGGCTTGATAGCAATACCGGCCAGCATGCCCTGGTCATGAATGTACCGGATCAGCTCCCTCGGGCTCGTCTTCTCGTCCGACTTGCCCTCGGGGCTCTCAGCAGCAGACGAGTTGATGGCGGCCTCGTAGTGGAAGCAGTATAGATCGCACCCGGCGTTCTTGAACTCCTTGACCCACTTCTTGGGCTCAGCGATCATCATGTGGCAGTCAAAGGTGCCCTTGCCAAAGGACTCGGCGGGCTTCTCAACATGGGAGCGGATCTTGACGACAACTGGGGGGCCGAAGGTGAGGTTGGGGACGAAGTGGCCGTCCCTGAGGGGGAAGTGTTAGTGATATGAATGAGTGCGAGGTGCAATAGTGCTTGACTTACATGATATCAACATGGAGCCAGTCGGCACCTTGCTTGATAGTCCTCGAGCATGCCGCGCCGAGATCGGCAAAGTCAGCCGAGAGAATGGAAGGGGCAATGATAGCTTTGGGGGCCATTGTGTCTGATTATTTACTATTAGTGAAGAGTGGCCCTCTGTTTACTTTATGAAGCTATCGCCAAACCTCTGGGATAGGGGTCCTGGGCAAGATCGGATGATGTGCTTCGGTGCCAGAGCCTTGCTGAGCCCCAACCAAATGTTATGCGCGGGGGCGGGGCAGAATGACGCAGGCTGGCGGATACAAACAGTGGGGAGACCCTTGAAAGGTGGGCTTGGCGAGAAGCTCTGGGCTTGATCGCGGGTTGACATCACTCCATTTTTTGTAGCGTCTCCCAACAATTGCGGTGACGCTCGGGATTCAAGCTGGGTGAGTGGTGTTGTGCCTTTGAGGTTGATGTCGTTCAAAGAAAAGCACAAGACAGCTTCCCCGCTCATGAGATTTTATTCATCTCGACACAACCAAAGTAATCGCTTCACCAGAGTGTAAAAGAGACGGGCCAAAAATGACATCCTTCCTCTCATACATCCCGCTAGTCAACCGACTGGTGAGAGCGGCGCCCACTACCATCGATCTTCCTCCCGTCGAGGTTCACAATGTGGAAGCAGACCCGGACAAGAGGCCGCGCACGTTGAAGCATCTTCTGAAGGCCAACCATGTCAATCACTCCATTCTGTACCACAATCTCGAATTCGACAACCACATGGCGCACATTCTGTGCTCATCATATCTGCTCGGCGCAGAATCACAACACTTGTATCACATATTCGAAGTGGAAGCCAAAACCCTCGAGCCGTGGAAAGATTCCCCTGCAGAGATGGGCGAGGAAGACTGGCGTGATTTCCTCGGAGACAAAAGATACCAAAGAGCTTTTGTAGACTTTTTCGAGGATGCCTTGGCGATGAAGCACGCGTATAAGTGGAAGGGTGTAGTGGAGGAGTACATGTTCTCCGGAGATGAGCCCCTCGTCAATGGTCTTGTTGGCGGTCGTATGTCATGCCTACCCACTCGTTTTGACTCATCTTACTAACCACCATCAGTCGGTCACCCCCTCATCCACCTTGGCTACGCCTACGAGTTCGACAGTCGCGAGATCGCCACAGAGGCCCTCGGTCTTGCCTCTACACAATACAACTATCTCCACAGATACCTCGACGACCCAACCTACACCGTCAAACCAACCACCTCATCCACTCCCTTGGAGCTCCTGAACAAGCTCTCCAACGACACCCGCTTCGACAATCTCTTCAAAACCCCCGCCTTCTCCAACATCGAAGCCCTCTTCCACAGCAAAGAATCCGAAGCCTTGGTGCTGGAGTACTGGAATGCCTGGGACATCACCTCCTCTGCCTGCTCCCCAGCAGAACAATTCCAGCTCTCACAAGAAGCCGCTGTCCAGCTTTTAGTAGCAACCGTTGCCCCGGGAACACACTCTTACAACTTCTTTCTGGTGCACGTTCTAACCACCAGCCACGCCGTGAGAGTTCTCTTGCCGTTCATTCCGGCGAAATTCCATGTCAGCATTGTGAGACAGTGGTGGTTGTTGGCCTTGGCGGCGTATATTGCTGTCTTGAGACCGAAGATCGACGTGGATTATGTGCCTGGGGAGGGGGAGCTGAAGGGGAAGGGGTGGAAGTATGTTGAGCATAAGGCTTTGACGGGGGAGTGGGCTACTGATGCGCATTATGTCAAGGGTGAGTTCCTTCCTGATGATGAAGTGTGAGATGAGATTGCTGACCGAGACGGGGATGATAGCCATCCGGGCGATGAGGGAAGCGGCGAGGACTTGGGGGGATGTTCATGAGAAGTATTTGGCTGCTGCTGTGAGGTTTAGTGATGATTTTGAGGGGTGGTTTTGAAGGGTTGAGGGAGAGGGGAGGTTGAGATATGGGTGCGGAAGTTGATCTTTGAGTTGGCATCGAAACGGTCGTTTCAGCTGAGCTTACATGTTATATTTTGGGGGTTCTTTTTGGCATCAAAACTGCAATATCATCAAGGAGATTGTAGCATGCATATAATTTCATACTCGGTCCAATTCATGTCTCTTCATGTTAGCTATCGTGGTTGCGGTGACAAAGCGAAGGGTTAGGGCTGTCCTATCTGTACGTAGGAGCACAGACCTTGTGGATCGTCAGGGTCCCCCCTGCAGCCCGCTGGCTGCCTGGCGCCGGGGCACCGCAACTTGAATTCCCAATCCAAGACGCAGCCTTCAGCCTTGTCAACGCTTTCAGCTTCCCACACAACCTGAACCTTCACCAAACCACTTTCCAAATGATGGATGTTTCACTTCCATCGGGTCGATAGAGCTTCAAACAAATCAATCACCGCATTCCAGTCCCGTGCAAACCACCTACAGCTTTCACCCAAACCCAGGCGCAATGCCTCCCCCACCAACCAAACGCCGGAAGCGCGCCGCCGTGATAGACGACTCGGACGATGACGATGCCGACTTTGATATCAACCACTCTCCTTCCCCACCCGTGAAACAAAAACCCAGACCCGCGACGCGAACGTCGGGTCGAAACACTATCCAGCGTTTTTTGGTCTCATCACCGGAGAACTCACCGCAAAAATCACAATCAAGATTGGATTTGGAGGAGTCGATAATCGAGGAAAGCCCGAGTCCGGTACGGAAGAGGGGTAGGAACTTTGGTGCTGCGGCTGCAGGAACCCAATCGAAGAGCCCGATCAAGACACGGGCTACTCGAGCGGCGGCTGGGAAGAGGGCGCTGGAGGAGGAGAAGGGGAAGTCGGGCGATTTAAGGACGTTGTTTTCGAAACAGGCGCAACGGAACTCGACTGGGACGGGAAGTAACAAGGGTAATGGGGTTACGACAAACAAGACACAGGTATTGGAGATTGAGGATATCATCAGTGACCCTATTGATGACGATGATATGCCGCTGGTGAGGAGGAGTGCCAGTGCGACGGTAACTACACAGCCTGGGAAGAGCATCATTGGGTTGAGGGCTCAGAAACGGAAAGAAAACGATGGGAGTGGGATTGGGGTTGGAGCATCGCAACTGCCGCTATCGCAGCATTCTAACGGGAGTCTGAGCGCGGGAGGGGCGAGGTTCTTGAACAGGAGTAGGGGTGGGACTGTTATGTCTGCGAGTCAAACTCCTAGCCAGACGCAACATGTGGAAAAGCCGAGCATAATAGACGACGATCCGCGGCCATGGTCGGAGAAGTATGGACCGGTTAACCTGGAGGAATTGGCGGTTCATAAGAAGAAGGTGGCGGATGTGAGAAGGTGGTTGGAGGATGTGTATGGTGGGAGGTTAAGACAACGGTTGTTGATTTTGAAGGGAGCGGCAGGGACAGGGAAGACGACGACGCTACGACTGCTCGCCAAGGATCTGAAATGCGAGGTTCTGGAGTGGAGGAACCCAAGCAATTCATTCGGGGCTGTGGGGCAGGCTTACCAGAGCGCAGCATCACAATTCGAAGAATTCCTCGGTCGGGGTGGGAAATTTGGGCAGTTAGACTTCGAAGAAGACGAAGAGCAGGAGCCAGAGATGGCGCCTCCGCATTTGCCGGCACAGAATGGGTCAGACAAGAAGCTGATCTTGATTGAAGAGTTTCCCAACACCTTTATGCGGTCATCTGCAGGGTTGGTCTCTTTTCGAAATGCGATAATACAGTATTTGGCAGCGAATATGCCGGCCATGGTGGGATGGGGCCGGGCTTCTTCTTCGGGGCCCATCACGCCTATTGTCATGGTTATTTCGGAAACACTGCTCACTACTGCGTCTGCTTCAGCAGATAGCTTTACGGCACATCGATTACTAGGACCCGAGGTTCTTCGACACCCTGGGACGGCAATCGTTGAGTTCAACCCTGTTGCACCAACACTCCTGGCGAAAGCCTTGGAGGTGATAGTGCAAAAAGAGGCACGCAAATCGGGAAGACGACGGACACCCGGACCGCTTGTGCTGCAGCGACTGGGCGAAATTGGTGATATCCGCAGTGCTGTGTCCTCCTTGGAGTTTCTCTGCGTCAAAGGCGACGATGATACCGATTGGGGTTCTCAAGTCGCCTTGGCCAAGACGAAGAAATCGAAAAGCGTGCCCACTTTGACCAAGGGTGAGAAGGATAGCTTAGAGCTCGTTTCGCAGCGAGAGGCGACGCTCGGGATATTCCATGCCGTGGGCAAAGTGGTGTACAACAAGAGAGGTGGTAAGCTGACAGGCGAACCAGCATCGGCAGCAGAAACGCTGCCTAGCCATATGGCGCGGTTTGCGAAGCCTAACCCATCGCTTGTTTCGGTTGATACGCTGATGGATGAGACTGGAACTGATACCCATACGTTTATCTCAGCATTACACGAGAACTACCCCTTGTCGTGTGAGCAAACTTCGCCTCAGGATGAGAACTCATCGCTGGATTACATCAACGGCTGCCTTGATTACCTATCTGAAGCTGACCTCCTGTGCCCATCCTGGGATATCTTCTTTGGAGGCAAAGGCTATGGAGGTGGGTATGCAGGGAAGGATTCAAGCAGCCATGTTTTAAGGCAGGATGAGATGGCCTTTCAGGTTGCTGTCCGAGGACTGCTCTTTTCGCTGCCATCGCCCGTGAAACGGCAAAGCCACCCTACGCAAGGGGGTAGCCGTGGCAACGATGCTTACAAGATGTTTTATCCTACGTATCTGAAACTGTGGCGGACGAAGGAGGAACTGGAGGGTCTGACGGACCTGATGGCTACCAAGATGCTTAAAGGGGAATATGGTGGGCCTGGTCACCACTCATCAGCATCACAAGGGGGCGGTTCCCATGGTGCGTCTGCCTTTCGGAAAGCAGTGCCATTCGGGACCACCAGTAGCCAGTTCGCCTCGTCTGCTCGTCACAACCAGCAGCAGCCAAAAGCAGAACCACCTTCTCATACACCTCTACTATCACTTGGCAATGCCGCTCGTCAAGAGCTTCTGCTCGAGCGCCTACCATACATGGCGCACATCGCCCGCCGCAACCGATCGGCGTTTTGCACCTCACAAGCTAAAGAGCTGGAAAAGATCGCTTCCTTCAGGGGCATTGGTCGAGCGGGTGCGGACGAGGAAGATGGGGCGGACTCGGCAGACGAGGACAGCGGAGGTGCGAAAGAGGCAGCAACCTCTTGGGCTACGGATAAACCGACCGAGGAGATGACTCCACGGAAGAAGAGGAGGATGGGACTGGGTGCGATTCTTCATCCGACGCAAAAGGCGGGGGATGGAGAAGAGGAGATGCAGAGGTTGCCGATGGAGAGTTTGGTGATCAGTGATGATGATATTGAGGATGATTAGATGGGACTGAGAGTGAAAGGTTCTGGAGTTTGTAGGGATAACAAAATGATACCACTGTGTAAATGGCGTTTAGAGGTTGGGAATATAGCATCATTGGACGGAAGATTAGGACAAAGGGCGCATGTTAGTATATCGAGATAATAAAGGTAGAAGACGACACCACATTCGACACAGGCGGTGCAATCGCTGAAATATTCCTATTTGACAGTCTATTTGACAGTCGGGAACTAATTTGCTGATCGGCAACTAGGTGAATTGTGAATCAAAGCAGATGGAAGCGTTTGGACAAATGTGCTACAAGCTCAAGACGACTTTTTTTTCTTTTGTTGGCAGTTTAGATGAGGTTTGTGGACTGAAGAAGCGGTTTTTGTTTTCGCCCGCTATTGGGGCCGGATGTCTATCGAGGTGCGTTGAAGATGTCCAACGAGGTGTTTAGCTGGCCTGTGTGACTTTGTTGGCACTGTGAATGACTGAAATGACTGAGGGACACACACGATCAAGTGAAGATGGAGAAACAGGGAGTTGCATAAACAATGATCAGGTTGTGAAGCATTATTTGTGCTATTGTGCAAAACGCATTGATTCATAGTTTTAGTGGAGCAGGCTCTTATAAGCCCCAAGTTTGCAGGTTCTTGCCGGAGTAGGCCCGCTCAGTCCGAACTCATTTCCTGCCTTTTACCGGATGTGACCGTGAGTTGGCCTCAAATACTCCATTCTACAATCTTTGGAAACAAAACCTCTGGTACATCCAGAATTCGATTCTTCTTTTTGCAACTTTTTTTGCACACTTCAAAATGTCCAATTTCATGCAGTCTGGTATTCCACTTTGATCTTTGGTTGATGCTGGTTTTTTTTTTTCAAAGCTCTTTCCTCTGTTTTTTTTTTGTTTTTTTTTTGTAGGTGGAAGTTGTTTTTGTCAATGCCGCAGCGCCATGGTGTTTGTGCGATACTGCTTCGAGGTTTCGACTCGAATGATGACGACCTCGGAGACAACCAAACACCATCTCAGGAAACAGATGAGGTGCTTTCACTCAGAGGAAGGAAGATGGTTCCCGATGGTGTGGCGGGAATAAGCCTTCCCCCAAAGTCTGGAGGAGGAGGAGGAGGGAATCTGGGGTAAGGTGCCCAAACCGTGAGTGATGACCCACTGGTGATGATGGCTTCTGGAGGAGTTGCACCTTGATGGCCAGGAGCGTCATCATGCTTCTGCGCGTCCAATTTTGCTGCAGTCTACTTGACAGTTTTTCATGAGTTGGTCAACGTGTCAGCAGTCTCATTCATTTCATATGATATTGAAGAACTCCCATCAGATATCGGTATGTTCAAACTGCATCGAAATCGGAGAGACAAAGCGGCTAGCCCCGTGCGGGGTGCGGATCCAGTGCCGGGGCGCTGCCGGAAATGTGCCGCCGGCTGGGCTTGGCTCACGTTGTGCCTCGCCTCGCTGTTGGAGAGCTGACCTAGGAACTTGCGTTGCAACCTCGGCTCAAGTCCATCATCACCACCACCGCGTTCGCTCTCGTAGCCGCAGCCTCGGATAGTAGGGCCTTCCTATTATTTGACCATGGACCTGTAGCATTCACCATTGTCCCCTTTTTGCTGCTTCGTTCTGGCGTCATCAAGCAAGTACGCGCTCGCTTTCTCATTGGTGTTTGTGTTCGCTACAGCTCCGTAACCCCAGCGCGCCAGCCAGTCGCAAGTAGCGGTGGCGGGGGTGTTTGTTGCTTGAGTCGAGTCCCGGATACCAAGTTGAAGAGGGGAGGCTGAATATCGACATCTATAAAAACAACACCGCTTTGTTTGGTTAATCTGGTTTGGACTACTGCGCGCAAAGTTAGAAAAGGAAACAGTTCACAATGGCAGGAAGAGTCCGTCACCCAATCGACATCCGCTCGCTGGAGCGATGGCTGAACAAGACCGTCCCTGAGATTGAGACGCCCCTTGAAGTCCACCAGGTAACTCACCTCGTCACCACCCCCCTTCATCACCACCACTGCTAACACCACAAAACAGTTTGGATTCGGCCAATCAAACCCCACCTACCAGCTCACCACCCCCTCGGGCGACCGCTACGTCCTCCGCAAGAAGCCTCCCGGAAAGCTCGTCTCCAAAACCGCCCACAAGGTCGAGCGCGAGTACCGCATCATCGCCGCCCTCTCCACCACCGACGTCCCCGTGCCCAGAGCCTACTGCCTCTGCGAAGATGACTCTGTCATCGGCACCCCCTTCTACATCATGGAGTTCCTCGACGGGCGCATCTTCGAAGACCCCGTCATCCCCAACGTCCTCCCCGACCACCGCCGCGCCATCTGGGCCGACGCCGTCCGCACCCTGGCCAAACTCCACCGCATCGACCCAAAAAGCGTCGGGCTGGAGAGCTTCGGCCGCCACGACGGCTTCTACAACCGGCAGATCGCCACCTGGAAGCAGATCTGCGGTGCCCAGGCCGCGGTCGAGGACGTGGACACAAAAGAGCAAGTCGGACAACTCCCCTTCTTCGAGGAGCTCATGGCCTTTTTCAGCGATGGGAAGGCCCAGCCGGCGGACAAGGGGACGCTGATCCACGGAGACTTCAAGATTGACAACCTGGTCTTCCACAAGACGGAGCCGAGGGTGATTGGGATTCTGGAGTATGACCCCCTTCTCCTTCCCTGTGCTGCTTGCGACTACCATGCTAACAAGTGCTGTCACAAACAAAGCTGGGAGATGTCCACCATCGGGCACCCCCTTTCCGATTTGGCGAACTTGCTGACGCCGTATTACACCGCGTTTTTGGACCCTGCTCGGTCGGTGCACTTGCACCCTGGGTTCTTGCCCAAGGCGACGAGGGGGTTGCCGTCGAGGGAGGATTTGACAGAGTTGTATTTTGCGGTGCTGGAGCCCGAGGCGAGGGAGGAGGATAGGGCGGTGGTGGAGACGAGGAGGAGGGAGCTGCAGTGGGCGCAGGCGTTTAGTATTTTCAGGTTGGCGGCGATTTGCCAGGGGATTGCCGCTAGGTTGGCGAGGAGGCAGGCGAGCAGTGAGCAGGCCAAGAGGCACGGGGATGCGAGGACGCTGTTTGCTGAATTTGCGTGGGAGCTGGCGCAGAGCAGCAAGGGGGCGGAGGCCAAGAAGAGTAAGTTATGAGGGGTGGGATATATAGTGTTGGCGTGTGTTGAGCAACGAGAGATATTTTGAAATTTGAACAACGAGCTTTATTGGGTCTTCCAGTTTCCTCTTGAGAATGATATGATAATCCGGGACTGGATGAAAAAAAAAAAGAAAAAGAAAAAAAGACGGACTCGACTTGCGATTGCTTCTTGATCATCTTCAACCCGCAATCCGCAAG